GGTTTTCTTTTTCTTTTTTTTTTTTGCGTTAAGAATTCTACGCGCAAAGGAGAGACGGCGAATTTCTCATAACGCGATTTCTCTCGCTCGCTCTCGTTTCGTCGAGGAAATCCGCCGATAAAATCGAGGAATCCGTTTGCGTTGAATCGTTTATTCATGTTTCAATAAACCCTCTGGAGAATTCTAACTTGCTGCGCTAATATTATTGCTCCCGTCAATGGAGAGGCTTAAGGAGTCGAGATTACGAAACATCGTCACGACTTTCGGGAATCCGTAATGTCGGTGCGAAGCTGCACAGTTCTGGTTGCACGTTTAATATTATAAGCCGGGATTACGTACTTAGACTTCGTCGGCAAACACGCTTTCCACGCGTGTTGTATACGGGTAACGAGAACGCGGAGGAGGGAAGTAAGATTTTGCCGTAAGTTACTATGAAAAAGGCTCTCCTCTTCGCGCGACTTCCGAGCTATTGCGCGAGAGCATACTCGCGACAGGAGAGATCGCGAGCGGGAAAAAGCGACTGCGAGCACCGAGTCTCGTGAACGAGCAGGCATCGTCTAAAAAGCTCACCCTTTCTCTTACGCACTCTTCATTCCTCTCTCTCTCTCTCTCTCTCTCTCTCTCTCTCTCTCTCTCTCTCTCTCTCTCTCTCTCTCTCTCTCTCTCTCTCTTCTCTCTCTCTCTCTCTCTCCCCCCTTCTCTCTCGTCGTCAAGTAGACAACGCGGAGAAAATTACTCCGCTCGCTATGTTGTCGGAAAAGTAATTAACGTATTCGTCGCAAAACAGTCGAGCATGACTCGCGTCCCCTCTCTTCCCCCCTCCCTCCCCCCCTCAGTTACTCACCACCGTGCTCGGTATTGTTGGAAAGTTTGCTAATTTCGTGCACTTTGCAGTGCGTAATCAAACGGAACCGTTATCGATCGGGTGGTCCGCCGTCACGCGTTTCCGTTATATACCCCCAAAGGCAACGTGCAAAACGCGCTAAATAATTCATCACGGAAGCTGCGATCGTCATTTCGCGAGACAGCAGGATCCCCAGGGCCGAGACAGCGGGGGCCCTTCTATCTAACGACTCGATAACATCGCGGGCGAATGTTCCGCGCGAACGAGCCGGAACAAGAATTTAGCGCCGGAGGCTGTCGGAGATGTAGGACCACCGAACTATAGAATATTGCGGGGCCGGAATTACGCTGGCAACGAGATTTCAATGCGAGCGGCTAAATGAAATACCTAAGTTAATTACCGCACCGCTAATCGAGTTCTTCTTCGTACTACTAATTATAATTTAGTACGAAGTATAACGTGAAGAGGAATAAAATACACCGCCTTTTGTTTCGGGCGCGATTATTGCTTATATTTGTTATGTCGCCTTTGTAATACGCTCTACTTCTCTTTCTTTTTTTCTTTCGAAAAAATGGCCTAATGGTTGAACTTTTTGCAGTAGGATGCAGATGTGTGTGTGTGTGTGTGTGTGTGCGCGCGCACCCGCATCTCGATTCTCGCAAGATTCGCGAGAGACGCTCGGTTTATATATTTCTTATTCATTTGTGTAATTCCTCATAAATATATGATCGTTTAATTTAACAATAATTTCCGCTGTGTACAAGTGTGCGTGTACGACTTGAGATTGTAAATTTTACAGTGAATAAAATAACGAAGCAATTTCGTTATGAATATTAAGGAATAAATACAGTAAGCTTCGCACATCGCATACTTAGCAAATAAATGTACACGTTAATACGATATATGTAGAACATTTTAGTAATAATATTATTTCAACAGACGTGTATAATTTTCTACAATTTGTGCAAGTTGAAATACACGCGATGAGTGCATCTCATTGCAAATTACAAAGGATCGTATCCCTTTTATGCTTTAATTCCAGATTCATTAATAGTCGAGAGATTAATAAAGCGCGATTATTATATTGCGAGAACTCCGGATAATCGCGTATGAATAAGCAATTAATCATGCAGGCACAAACGAATAAATTTACTCACCGGACTATACCCTCAGGTGTCGCGTCGGTAGCATCAACGTTCGGTTGACTTTCGGCCGTGACTGTACCGCTTGAACTTCAATCGAGAGCTCACCACTCGCGTGAATATGGATATCGGAAAACCCGGCGAATTTCGATCGTGCACAACGATTAACACGTTACAACGATCACTCGGCAGATTCTACGGCACTTGCGACGCATTTTTGTACGCGGGATGCACTTTTGACGGGAAAAAATGCGAACAACACGGAGCGACTTTACTGCGACTTCTACCCGACCGACCGGCGCGAAACTAACTGACGATGACGGATGCGCGCATGCTATTGGTCAATTTGAGTTCAAGCAATATACAGAGAGATCAATAGAGGGATCATTGAATTTATAAATTATATGACATAAAACGCAAAATATCGGAGAAATACAGAACTTTATGCTAACATCTCTATTAATTCTCTTATCTTTTGATTAATATTCCTTGTGTATAATTCATATCTCTCGCGCAATTATAATAACAATCTAAAATACGTTCCGATTAATCTGTCATGCGATTAATTTGCTTCATTAATCACATTTTATCGTGTACAATGAATACGGATGGAGAAACAGGGAAAATAGAACGATAATGACCGCGAAAAAAATAAACTACCAAATAAAGGAAACGATGGAGAGAAGGACACGCAACAAGAATGCGAAAGAAAGAGGGAGGCGCGTCGGAGACGGTGAGAGAAAATCGTCGGTGCATTTGAGAGTTAAATGGACCGTAGATAAAATAAACAGGGACGGGAAAGAAATTTCCAGTCGTCGTACTCGCGCGACGTAAGAAGTCGCGCTACTGCGGAGAAAGGGAATTTCGAATAATACTTTTTGTCCCACCTTACGCCATCAACCCACCCTTCACCCTCCCGTATCTTTCTTCCTCTTTCCCTTTCCCTCTTCCTATTTCTCCACCCTCGCTCTATTCCGCGTCGCGAGAGAATACTTCCGAAGAATTTTCCGCGACGCGGTCTCGCTAGTACCCCGAAGGAAATCTCTTAACGCGATCAAAGTTTTCCTCAAGAAAATCCTTCGAGAAGTCTCATCCGGAGTTCAAAGGTAAACCTTTTATCTGAGACCTCCAATATGGAAGCCTCTCTCTCGCCTCCGCTACGACATTTCATTTGGTCTCTTCTCTACTCGATTTCTTTCGTCGTGCCGAGGCAGTTCCGTGAAGAAACTATATTTCTTTCTCGTCTGTATCGTTATTGTCTCCGTGCGACGCCCGTGCGATGAATTCGAGTGCGCCGAACGAGGTAGTTACGAAGCTAATCATATCAGCTCTTAAGTATTATGCAAAGTAGATTTCGGGATCGGGGGAGTGACACGTTTAGAAGATGAAAACTAAGGGCTGAAACTCACTCGGATCTCGACAGAGTGTACGAAAATAATACAGACCTGTATACTTATTCGGAACGATAAAGATAATGTGGGATACGATTTTATTTTATTTTAATTCAAATTAACCGTTAGGGCGGCGCAACCCTAGCGGTAGCGTTAGGCGTGAGAGGCGGGTAAGAAAAGAGAGAGAACGAAGGACGGACGATGCGCCGAAGCACGAGTGAACTTCTTGGGGAACAGTTATACAAATATATATATATATATATATATATATATATATATTCTTTTACCGCTGCGGCTTCTATTTGGCCAAATCTCACAATAATGTCTGTCACGGCGCTTTAAATTTCCGCGAAAAATATAAAAAGAATGACCTGTGTGAATTGAATGATTTTTTAGCTTGTAAAAAATAGGAAGGTCCAGCTACGTAAACGCGAGGGGCGTACAACCCTCGACATAATCAGCAAATCGGATCGTGAAAAGTGGCGATAAAGCTGGCTGCTCCGAAATAATAAGATAGAAGAAAGCGGTAAAGAAATGAAGAATAATGAGTTGAGTGCTCGGATGAATAGAGTGGTAAGGGATTTATCGGTTGAATGAAGATAGATATATTCGCCCATTCTTTTTTTTTCGCCCTTCGAAACACAACGAAGCCTGCTGCGTACAAAACTCATGTATATATTTCAAGTACCTGTAGAAATACAAAAGCGCGCGTATCACGCTGGTATCAAGGCTCAAGGTGCTATGAGTATGCAACGACAGTTTCACATGTACCGCTTTCCAGCTTATTTCGACATAAGGCTATACGGATCTCCAACTATACACTTCGGAGTATTTCTATCTATTTCAACTAGATTAACATTTTTTGATCTGATCACATCGTTTTATCTGTATCGAGCATAACGTAAACAAAGGATTCTGAAAACAGTGCGTTTAACCTGAAATCTAAGGGCTTAGTTTCCTGAAAAATCACATGTACACGATGATCAGTTCATAAAATGTCAAGATAATTATAATGTCAAATTGACCTTTATTTGTGAACGCGAGAATATGTTATTTAAATATATATATATATATATATATATAATATGTAAGTATCGAAGGAAAAGAGATGGAGACAATTGGATGAAGAATTGTATACGAAGAACCAACCTCGCCGAAGGATAACACTTGAAAGTGTTTATCTACTATGAAGTGAATATCTACTATAAGAGATATATAAGATTTAATATAAATGTAAATACTGCTATAATACTACTTATACGTATTTTACACTACAGTGCATTTAATAAATAAACGTATAAACTGGAAGAAAATTTATGAAGATTTCTACGACATGTACTGAGCGTGATATAGATATATATATCATCAATTATTAAAAAAATATCAATTCTGAACATGGACAAATTCGCTCAATATGACGGTCGCAGCTTATCATAATATCTAAGTACTTATAAGTATAAAAATGTCAGTCATATAAATAAATCACGTTAAATCCTTGTTTTACAAACTACTAATATCTGAAATCTATGATAAATATAATTTTTTTTATTAAGATCATCTTGTTTTAAGACAAAAAATATTAATTTTTAAATATAAATAATTTAAATATATAACAATTTTCTGTCTGTGTTAGATGTAAATCTAAATCTAGTTAGGAATGAATGTAATCATTAAAAAAAAAAAAAACACAAGGATTCAACGTACGTGCACTTCCCACGTAACATGATTGTAAGCAGAATTACCTGTGTGCTAAGTGACAATCTTATACGTTAATAATCGATACTCTTTGGTAAGCTTCTATGGCAGTGCCTCGCTTCTTTACCACCGCGGGGACGTTGCCGGTACAACTTGCTGATTAATTAAGGAGGGACCGCTACATGGCAGAGTAAGAAAGATTTCTTCAATACTAGAGATCTCGAAGAAACACTTGTTTTTCCAATCAAGATATCTTACCTCCAGGCGATAAGAGGTGCCAATCGTTCGGTCAATCTTTGGTAATTTCTCTCCAGCTCTCGCTGATAATCCCGCTGATCTGGACCGATTAGATTCTTGTTACGCCGCAGAGCGTCAAGACACTTTTTCTGGAAATCCTTGAAACACAGACGAAGCTTGTGCTGTAGTCTATCTGGCTGTACGTTCTGCTCACGCAGACCCGACAGAAATACGACCGCCACTTCGGCGGGTCCTTGATTGACAGTGGTGCCGATACATCCTTGAAGCACCATCTGAAGCATCTTTGCGTCAGGTGGTTCCTGAACTGTCGCGGCAGCCACCTAATTAAGATACATAAATAAACATTAAGATACATAGATAAGTATTGTATCGCGTTTATAATGAACCTGTAAAATAATTAAAAGAAAATATAGCGATTTATAAAAAGATTTTCTTAAAATGTTCAAAATTCTTAAAATACCTCAGCAGTCTTCTTCTGTATGTCTTCGATCGCCACTTCGATAGGAGTGAGAACTATCTGCTTCCGGGCTACAACTCGAATTCTGGTTTTGAGATACGGAAAATGCGTCGCTACCGTCAATATAGTCTTCCGTTTGTGCTGCTCGCGCAGTTCACCGTGGGCTTTGCCACCGGATGTGAAAGGCGTTGCGTAAACGAATCGTTCTGAAAGAAACATCGTGACAAAGAGAAATGTACGAAATCACGCTCGCGACGATTCGACACTGCCGGTCTGTCTGAACGCACTCACTTATATTGAAATTGCGATGAAAAACAGTGGGTCTATGTCGGAGCTCGTGCGCCTCGAAATACGGCTCTACGTAAGTGATCTGAACGTATGCCTTGTCCGGCTCCAGTTTACTGGGATCCACAGGATTTGAATCCTTTATTATAACTATATTCTCCGCGCCGAATCTCTCGGCGTAAAAATTCTCGAGTCTCGAGAATATCTCCGGGAGCTTCGTCAGAGTCGGCTCTTTATACACAAATTCTTCGCCGGCAAGATCGCCGAATCTCGCACCGTAAAAACCGACTCTGAAGTACGTCCCGAAAACGCGTTTACCAGCCAATTGTTCCACGCGTGTATACGCCTCGTGAAGTTTTCTAAAAGTCCACAGAGATATTTGACATTGGCTTACGATAAAACTCTGTCTCTCTCATCGCCTGAGATAATGATCATTTGAATGTTTTACCCATGAATGTTAGCTAATTTCTTATAGTCGTGCGCGGCTTCGGCTATAGGCAGCAACACTCTGTAGACATCAGGAATGGCTTCGTACATTCCGGCTGCATGAAAGGAACTAGCAGCATGCTCCAACAGTCCTGCCAAGCCACTCTCAGAGAAATCAGGACCTAAACAGAGTCCTTCTTCTCTTCTGGCCAGCACATCGTCGCCCACTGCGCTCTCCTCCAACGCGTTCGGCGTCACAGCGTTCAAAGCGACGGCTCCTACCGGCCGTCCACCGCCACCGGGTTCCAGCAAATGTAGATATTCCGCGACTAAAGCAGCACTGTGCACCAAACACATCGCGGCTTCTGTGTGATTCTTCCTTTCCATATGTTGCTGCGCCATGTTTGCTAGCCAGGTTAACCGAAGATCTGGCGAACCTTGATAACCCTTAGCAATTCTAGATAAAAATTGATGTTCAATTAATTTAATATTTATCAATTTAATGAATAATTTATAGTATATATCCCTAAATAGAAATAAAATATCGTAGTCTTACCTGTACATTAAATCCAACAACATCTCGGGATCTTCTTGGAACTCCTTCATTTTAACGGTATCAGAGAGGATCATGTGAAGATTAAACAATAAATCCTTTACTTGTTCCGGAAAGCTTGTGTCCGCAAGCTCTGTGTCTCTTTCAGCGTATACCAACACCGTTTTCAACGCTCTGCGCAGCGCTCCCTCGCTAGGAGCTCTCCCTCTGCCAACGAGAGCGGACAAGGACGTCGTAACTTGCATCTTGACACGTGCAAAGTTCTATAAGAGAGAAACATCATATTAAAACAACTTGTCACCACGCCACGCGTAACGAGATAACATCGTCGAGATAGCGAGATCTCGCGAGAACTTACGTTTCCAATTTCAAAGTTCTGTCGCATCAGTAAATACAAACTCGCAGCAGCGTGGCTCCTGACAGCGCTCAACGGTGAGCTACATCGAGTGAGCAACGTCAAGCATAAGTCCCCGCAGCGCTCGCTCTCTTCGTCAAATAAAGCGCTGTGGTACTTGAAAACCAGAGCACGCTGTGTATTGAACATGTGCTGCAGCACTGACGTACTTTGGTTTCTAGCTAGCGCCCTCAATAATACTTTCAACACCGCTCCAACAACCGCACCTAAATAATTGTAAGCGTGTCAGAACTTATTCGATTCGCTGTAATAAAACGCAAACAGGATTCATAGATATACCTCCGCCGCCATCGGCTTGAACTACAGATTCCAAGGTGTCTAATACGACGAGAGAGGCTTCAGCCGCCAAGGCTCCTTCTATGTGAGCGTCTTGTTCGACGGCTCTTCCCTCTGGCTGCTCGCAAGATCTTAAAGAACCAAGTCACACTGAATTATAGTATTAATTGTAACTAAAATAGTTTTGATTTTAATTATAATAATAAAACAAATCAAATTGAAAAATAAGTCAAATCGATACTAATACTGATTGTAATGACAAAGATTAAATAATTTTATTTAAAAGGAAATTAAATTAATAATTTTAATTGCAAGTATGATTTACCTATACGGCATTTGGTCCTTGCGCCATCTCAACTTGTCGCCGGTCACTCTTTCCTTCCTCCGCAACATCATCTCACTTCTAGCGCTTCCCTGACCAAGGATCACGTCCTCCAGTCGCGATCGGATGTCACTAGTAGCCGCAGCTTGCGGCGGCAACCTCTTCAACGCTTTCTTACCCTTATATTCGAAAGCTGCGGTAGCAATATTCAGCACTTGAAGTAAGCTCAGGATACGTCTTGCACTCAGCTCAGAGCACCACTGCGCTAATGCGGTTCGCTCCAAGCCCTTGAGTACCCACAAAGCACACATTAAGAGGTGTCTAGTGGCTTCCGAGCTCAAGCACACTCGACACTGATTGCCCGCGGTGTCCGCCGACGCTCCGCCAGCAATAGCCAAAGCTACAGACTGCGTGATCGATCCAGACTCATCCGGGTAGACACTCTTGTCCTTAGAATCCCAATGGTAGAGCTGCGGCAAGGCATCCATCAAGATGTTCAGCAACGGCAGATACAGTGCGGCGACTCTGGCTTTCGCCGCAGGATCCGAATATCGCGAGTCGGCGTCGTGGCAGCTCATCAGATGCCGTACAGTGCCGATGGCCTTGTTCTGCAGCATCGGGTTCGGTACTTCCAAAGTGTTCGCCAAGTCGGACAGAACGATGCCGACTAAGAAGTGCTGCTGCCTGAATTCCTGGCTAAGTTCCGAAAATCTCGCTCTATCTCCGGGCACCAGGGTGGAAATTAGACTGCCTGAACTGCCGGTCGAAGGACTGGGTGATGCTGGGGCCGATCCTGACGTGTAGCCTGTGCCGAACGGCAGATTCAGCGCCACATAGTGCTCATGTGAGCACACCGTCCTCACGAGATCGAGTTTCAGGGCGAACAACGCCGCAGAATCGGGAATGTGCATCGATGCGTCCGATAGCGAACAGCAGGCGACACGTACGAGCGATAACACAAATCCCCTATCCATCACGGACAGCAAATCGGACAAGAAATTGCCGAGGCTCGATATCAGATTGGACGCGACGCGAATCTCCTTGCCGCAACGAGTCGTCACCTCAGTTATGAGCGCGGACGTAAGAGTTGTGATGTCGTCGCAGAACTGCGGCGAGAATCTCAGCTTTCGCGGTGCCTCCAAGCTGTTCAGTTCCGACAGCGTGACGACCATCGAGCGCATTATCAGCTCCAAGAAGAACCAGGAATGCGTTATCGCCAATTCACGCGCCTGACCTGTGGATACGACCCAATGCAACGCGAGCTCCTCGTGCAACAGCCTTCTGGTGGGTTGACTGTTGATTGAAGGAGATTCTTGTCGCATCGATGCGGTTCTGTCCAGTCCTCGTGAATGAATTTCCATCTCCAAGTCTTCCAGGGGCAAATCAGGGTTGCTCTGCGCTCGCACAACGCCCGCGCCGTGGGACATGCTCGGTAAGGAACACTGGTATGCGATGTAGGTTGCTAAGAGCGCGTGTCTTCCGTGTGCGTCCAACTGACCATCGGGTAAGTTGGTGATATTTCGCACCAGCAGGCCCAAGGCTTCAAAAATGATGGCAGCGACATTTAATGACTGGGACGGCAATGTCGGTGGTCGCACAAGAAGACACAGCAGTTGATCTAGTAACTGAGGAAGAGATCGCACCAAAGCGGAATGCGAGGCACGCGCCAACTCGAGTAACGCTGATTTCAGTTCTGATTCCATGCCGGCTTCGCCAATACGAGGCGGTACCTGACCGGTTTCCAGAAAGCCACATAAGGATAGAAACCTGTTTATACGAAAAATTGGTATTGGTTATCGCGTATTTCATGATAAACATTTGCGTTAAAAGATAATGGATAATTTGCATCTTACCGATCGATATATTTGTCTTGCGGATGAACACTGGAAACTGGTTCCAAAATAACGGTAAAGACTCCTCGATGAGCATCCACCCATCGAGTACCTGGCAGAAGAACATCGGGAGCGATGTACGAATAGTTCGCTGGTGGCGGGTCCAACATAGCGGGCAGGCTGAATTCACCCGATTGCAAATGCCCGTCTCTCAGAAGCGGTAGCCACTGCGAAGGTCAATTTTATGTCTTCCAGTGAGTGAATTTGATTATCTTACCCTACATCATTTTTCTAAATTCTTGATTGGAATTTACCGTGTACGCAACCGCTGTTTCGACATTAGGTTGTTCAGCTTTCTTTTGGCAGCTAATGTGATAGAAGGTGAACAGTAAGTGATGCTTAGCGCTCAGATCCGCAGGAAGTCTCATTTTCACTTCGTCGTAGAAATTCGGATTTTTATTGTGATACGACACGGATGTAAAGTATTCGTACGTCATCTCAGGACATGACGATCTGCCGAGTATAGCAGTGAGAGCATCTGCTTCTTGTTCACCTCCCATAAGCTGAATTCTGACGGCGATGTTACGAGCTGAGCCAGTTCTGGAGCTGAAATTCGCTTCCTAGAAACGACAGAAAAACGGCAAGGACATATTAATCGACCGAAGAGAATATTCGGTCGTTCATCTCATTCGATGTACACACCTTCGGATAGAGATACAAGAGATTGCGATACGTCAAATCTGGCGAAACGACTTCACTCGGGAATTCGAGTATTTCCTTGACCGGTCGGCTTTTCTCGTCAGGATATGGAACTAATCTTCTGAGGTCGGGATCCAGACATCTAGGCAGCTCTTCGGGTCTAGGACTGAGATCCAACTTTAATATCCCCGGCAAGCACTTCAGTCGTTTCAGATTGGAACCAGGTCTTCGCAGTTCGACCAGAAGCTTGTAAAGATCTTCGTCGCGGAGTCGTTCACTTTCCTGCTTGAAGAAGCTCGAGACAGTCAACGTGATGGGTCTGCAAGAGTATTAAAATAATATCCACTGTTTAATATCTCCTTGAATAAATATAGGTAGTATGTACGAACCTGAAACTGTCGAGACAGTTAGCGAAATCGTCTGGAGACCAACTACGTCTTTTGTCCGAACTTCGTCGTTCTAGCGAACCTCGTCGCGTCGGCGGTTCCACTTTCTTTCGCCATTGTTCTAGACCGCCCGATTTTCTATCCAAAGATCCAGCGCTGCCGGTGCTGTCCGCGTCGCCGCCGCCTCCTATTACTCCGGACAAATGAATCGCAGTCCATGCAAGAGGCATCCTGTAACGACCTAAACGTTCGCACGCAGCGGCAGCGGCAGCTCTTACCTGCAGGACGGGCAAACAGTGCAATTGTTGTAAAAAAAAAAGTTATCGATCAGAACGTGTTGTTGACGAAATTACCTTATCCTTGTTCTTATCCTCACGCAAGTATGGCTCAGCACATTCCGAAATGTCACCCTGCAATACTTTCTCCAACCGTACAACGAGAAATAAGTCGGGGCTGGGTTTACTGATGCTCAGAACACAACTTCTGGCTAAGGTACTGGCATCGCTATAAGCAATGTGCCCTCCGAGCATTCTCTTCAAGCCTTCGGAATTCATATCGACGTAGAAATTTTCTGATACCTGAGATACAACGAATTGTATTTGTGGCATTTTGTGCATTCTCAAAGTTGCAGTTGTGATTTATTGACAGATAGTATACTTTTTTCTTTTCCTTGGCGTCATACAATGCGAGACTCGCGAATATCGGTTCCACTTCTAGTTCTAACTTCAATTGCAGACATTTCACAAGAATCTTGTGAGCAAATGGCTCTGTAGGCTCGGGAGCAACACCGATCTCTTGCCACTCGTCGTCCGGAGAAGTCGGCGGAGTATAAAGTGGGAATAAAGCTTCCTGAAGGAGATTTTATTTGATTGAAAGTAAAGTTCACAAAATTCATAATGTTGCGCGGCTTCTACCTGACGATCTTCCAATCTCTTCTGTTCGTTCATCTGATCGATCGTCTCCAAACAAACACGATCCAATAGACTCGGCAGAAGCGGATCATGTTGTGAATGTCGCAAATCCAGACTCGCCCATGATCCTCTTGGGGTATCTCCGCAGTTAGACAAATCATCTTCTTCATTTGGTGATCCGCAGCCATTTGCATCTTCTTGATCTACCTGATTTAGATAAATTTCCTCAGAAGCTTCCTCACCAAAGATAAATCCTTTTTTCTTCTAACAGTCTTAAATACCTCAAAATCTTGTCTAGGTGTATCCTGAAGCAATCTGTCTCTGGCTATAGGTGAAATTCTTCCCTTGTATTTGCGATTTATTACAACCCAATCTGATGTAAAGCTTTCAATGCATCTTTTTACATAAGGAGACACAGTATCTCTGTAAAAGCAGATCATTAAATAAGGATACATATAAAAATCTTCAATTTTAAATCACCAATTTTCTTTCTCTCAATTATATTTCTTACAATGACTCATGTGGAACTATTGGCTCCTCTGTCCGAATCTTCCTCTTTATAACTCTCATTTCAACATCCCCTGGTGGAAAGTCTAATATTGGTTTCAAGGGATCACGATCTAATACTGATTGATGTTGTGCTAAGAATTCTTCATAATCAAGCGGCTCTAATACTTCACACAAAGACATCTGCAAAATCATCAAATGATAATTTGAAGCAAGATTAAGTATTCAGTTCTTCTTTTAAACAATCTACACACCGTGGAAGAAAATCCTGATATACTGCTGCCACTCTTAGATAAATCACGGGAATAGGAAGTGGAAGTAGCAATTTGTCGTCTCACATCAGCAGCATGCTGCTTACTCAATTTGTGAGCAAATGCACGTTGGACCGAAGACATTATAAATGTCCCGGTAAAATACTCTGTTGATGAAATTCTGTAACAAAGTGTATATAGCTGCAAATTCACAGGTTATCTGTTTGATATCGTGCAAATAATTTTAGTAAGTGTTTCTGTTTTTTCCAAATTTATCAGAAATTCATGTACTTGTTTTTATTATAATTGTATAAATTCTTCTTTATATAAAATGGCTTTTAAATGAATATAATATTTTTAAATTTTCCATATTTTTACATACATAAATCTTTGTCTATCAATTATTTAATTTACAAAATTACTGCAATTTTGTTTAATGTATACATATATATAACAAGTTATAATCTTAAAGATAAAAACAAGAATTAGAAAATAATGATTAGTATTCATAAGGTATGAAAGTCGGTTCGAAATGGAGCAGAACACATAAATAAGAGTAACCACGATAAATAAGAGTAAATTGAGAAATATAAGTTGCGCCAAGAGTCTGTACTTACGTTAACGCGAATTCATCGAAAGCGGGTGGAATAAAAACGATCAAGATTCATCAGCAGCAGAGAGAATCCATGACTTCTTTCAAATAACTTTAAAGCTTTGACGTATGTGCGTTTGACGTGACCCCTGACTGACGTTCCTTGATAGAGATGGACAATGATCGACTCATGAAACGATAATCTAATTTTCTTCTCGTAAAGGTCGAATTATTATCTCAATATTTACAAATCTGATTAATTCCTATACTAATAGTTGATAATTCAATCAGAAATCTTTTATTTCTCACCTATTGTCCGATTATACGTACGTCTAATGAATAAAATGTCAGTTCGACCAATCATTAAACTGTACAGTCCGGTTCAATGAAAGGATCAGGTTCCAGGATTCAGTTTGCACGGGTGCAGAACAGCGCAGCCAACTTCTAGACTGCTGTACTACTTTAGTAAAGCAAAATGTAGAGATACCCAAATTACTGTGACTCCGATTACTTCCGCTACGAGTCGCCACTGTTTTTATGAAAACACCCGACAAATTACTACGAGTTACTTCCAAGTGATAAAGTTTAAGGCATGTCAGCCATATTTACTACTGGAGATATATGGTCTGTTCTTTGTAGCTGCACTGCTGAACTGGTGCAATAAGCTAGAGTGAGAAAACCTATATTTGTCTCATTTTAACTTATTGCACCAGTTCAACAGTGCAGCTACAAAGAACAGACCATAAATAAAATTCAATTGTCTGTAATTTCGGCAAAGATAAAGATAATGAGATGATTCAAGAAACATTTTACATCTTAAAGCCTCTAGTTTTTAAACATATTAAAATTGCAAATTTTATATTTTTTTATCAAGATAACGAACTCTTATCATCATGCAGCTATACATGGTCTGTTCTTTGTAGCTGCACTGTTGAACTGGTGCAATAAGTTAAAGTGAGACAAATATAGGTTTTCTCACTCTAGCTTATTGCACCAGTTCAGCAGTGCAGCTACAAAGAACAGACCAATAATGACACAACGAATTTTGTTACTATACTATGATGAGTGCGGTCCGGCGACCGCTACAGATGCTTTGAAGCGTTTCTCTTTCTCGTTCTATTTCTCGGATGCAAACGAAGAAAGAGAGAGAGAGAGAGAAATAAAAACGCTTCGAAGCATTTATAGCGATTGATGGACCGCACCCGATATCACAATATCCATTGGTGTCGGTACTGTGTGATATATATTACAATTAAGCTTTCATGTTATTTTATTGATTGAGTGACAGCTGTAAATGATGGGCAAAGTAGGCGGATTTCTTTCTCTCTTCGTCAAATATGCAAATGGATCAGCAATAATTATAAATAATGCTAATTCTGACTTAGAACAGTGGAACCGGCACGTATAATTGGAGAATTTTATAAATAATTTCTTAAATATGTGCCCGGCACTTTTGGAAAACGAGGAACGATGCTTGGGAGGTATGACCTTTTTTGCGCAAAGTCACCCAGTGGAAGTATGCGGCAGCAACGGTCTACCACTCACTCCAAATTCTATAACAATTTATGGAAAATCACAATTTTTGAAGACCATTTACCATCCGCATCTTTCTCCTTATCTCGATATAATTAGAAGTAAGCACGGTAAGTCACTGTCAAACACACAAACATAAATTAGTAAATTCATTTATACGTTGTATAATCCAAATCTACATATATTTTTAGAGAGAATAGTAGTTGTTGCAGAGTATAGTGGAGATCCATTAAACACTAAACAAGACTTCAGTACAGAAGAGATTGTCAAGATATCCTTTCAATGTCTCTTAGGATTACAGCATATGAACAAACTTGATTTAGTACACAGGCATCTGAGTCCAGATAATATTTTGATTAAGAACAATGGCGATGTACAACTATACAATTTTGGACTATATTATATGACAGATGGAGGAAAGAATGTGTCTTTCCCAATTGGGTATCTTCAAGTATTCCTTTTCTCTAATAATTTGAATGAATTTACTTAACAAAATATTATATGAAATGTTTTCTTATCAGTTCTCCAAAATATACAGCACCAGAAGTATTTTTGAATCCTAATTCAAGTGGTGTCAAAGTTGATTCCTGGTCTCTGGGGCTGATCATAGCGGAGCAGTTGTTGGGACAATCTATTTGGCCTGGTGTAAAATTATCCCAATGCTTGAGAAAGGTTATGAGCTTAATATTATGCGACACTAGCATATTCGAACGTCTTGCCAGAGAAAACAATTGTTTTCACGCCTATGAGGTATAAATTTATTTATATATTTGTTATTATTTTTTTTGTATCCTGATATTATGTGTCTCTCTTTGTATCATGCAGAAGCTATCACAGGAGTTGAAAGAATTTGTAGATTCATGTCTACAAATTCATCCTACTAAACGTAAAACTCCAGAAGAATTATTAGAATTGCCATTATTTGCTGAACATTTAACAAGAAATGCTCAAGAGAAGGAAGAGAATCTTTATAAAAATGTAATAGTTAGGAAAATGGACGAATTATATTATCTGTGGCAGTTGGCTGGCGGGGACATTACGATAGATCTAAAGAAACAGGGTCTCGTCAGATCGAGTCCGCCTGTTTTATCTATTCCCAAGTAAGTTTCACAAATATATTTCTGTGAATGTAACGATTGTAGAAACAAGCCATATTCAATGGGGTCATATAGATTGAAATTTTTTTTATATTTTAGCTTGGTCATACTGCTGGGCCAAATGTTTGGCCAGAGAGATACCGCCAGTTTGCTTGATGTAAGGGTCATAAAGGTTCCTATAGAGACTCTTCGTCAACGTTTGGCTCACATTCCGTACATAGCAAATTATCCTTGGTTGACAAATCAGTGAGTAAAGTTACTTTGTTATATCATATAGATATGAAATGATTGCAAAGATATTATTCATACGTACACATGAAAACAGTCATTTTCTTTATAATATTTCACATTGTAGAATGCGAGTTCAGGCACAGGAAGATTTGACGGACGCCGCGTCTCAGTTGCCGTTAATTATACGGGAGCGCGACACAGAGTATCAGTTTTATCGGCTAGTCTTGTATGATAGACTCTTACAAGTATATCCGCTCACTCAAGATGCGATTATCGAGGAGGCTCACAAAGATATACCGCCACCAGTACGGGGTGCTGTATGGGCGGCTTTGCTCGGTATTACTGGCGACATACAGAAGCGTTACGACATGATTGACAAGGAAACGCCCACACACACCGATCGACAGGTATGACCGGTGTGCGCGGAGCGCGATAGCTCGACATGGTAAATGCATCTCGCCAATGATTTGTCAGATAGAGGTGGATATACCGAGGTGTCATCAATACAGCGAGCTACTATCATCCGGCGCCGGGCATGAACGACTGCAACGATTACTGAAAGCGTGGGTCAGGAACAATCCTCACTACGTTTACTGGCAAGGACTCGATTCGCTGACGGCGCCCTTTCTTTATCTGAATTTTAACAACGAAGGTAAGATCGTTCATTCAAGTATGCGATTATGTCTTAATCGTGTATATCGTTGCAGCTCGAGCATTCGGATGTTTATCTGCCTTTATACCGAAGTATCTGCACAAATTCTTCTTGAAAGACAATTCGGCGGTGATACAGGAGTATTTGGGAAAATTCTCTCAGATCATAGCGTTCCACGATCCTCAATTGGCCAATCACCTGAAGTCCATTAACTTTGTTCCAGAACTATTCGCCATACCGTGGTTTTTGACGATGTTTTCACGTGAGTCTCGCTAGTAAATACTTTTAGCATACGTCATGTTTATCACCGCTGAGAGAAGCTATTCGTATTTTAGATGTGTTTCCGCTGCATAAGATATTACATCTGTGGGATAAATTATTGCTAGGAAACTCGTCGTTTCCTCTCTTAGTTGGATTGGCGATACTGAAGCAACTGCGAGACTCTCTGTTGATGTCGGGTTTCAACGAGTGTATCCTCCTGTTCTCCGATTTGCCCGAGATCGATATAGAGTTATGCGTTAAAGATTCTATGATGATGTATCAAAACACACCAGCTAGTATTACATATAGAAAGCACCAGTATAACACGACAAAGGTACAAAATTTGTTTTGTTACATCTGATGCATTTCTGTACCAATCGATTCGCAGGATGCAAATTGGACCGAGCCTGAGGCGGGAACTGAGAAAATGCCGCGGATCAGCGTGGACGATTTCCTAAATCTCCACAACAACTCGCCAAGCAAAGTAATAGTGGTCGACGTGCGTAGCAATATACAGTAAGTATCCGGACGTAAACATTTGTACAGATATAAAAGAAACTATTCTTAATAAATTATACTAATTTAGAAATTATTTATGAATTGAGTATAATTTATAAATTATATCTAATTTAACTATAATTCAGTACCTAAATACCTAACGACAAACTTTATAAAATATAAAGATATAAAAATTGATTTCTAAATTAATGAAATCTCTCTGTTCTCAATAGGTTCGAAAGAGGCGCTATTCTTAGCAGTATTAATATCCCGTTTACGAGTGTACAACTCTCCCAGACTCACGTCGACACGCTCGGACCGCACGCGAAACCTCTGACAGATAACAAGAACAGTGTCGTCGTGATCATCGGGCCGCACGATCAAAATAACGCGTTGGTACGTATTCGTATCGAGGAGAGATCAGAAATCGCAAAGAAGAGATCTTTTCTGACATGTTCATCCGACAGTTCGCAGATTTCCTAGTGAAATGCGGTGTCGTGGGAGTCTGTTCTCTGCAAGGCGGTATCAACGCCTTACGTTCCAAGGCTCCGAACATCATAGTACCTGCGCGTTAATCAAGATCACACTTAATAATGACATTATTGTACATAATACTCAGACGATGAAGTACAATTGATATTACTTGTGATCTATAAAATTTGTAGAGCAGGCTGTACAATTTTTGTGATAAAAGGATTTATCGGATACACGTGTGTGACTTGATTATCCTACGAGGACATATTCGTCGAGAATCCACACTTTATATATCCTGCGTGCGCTGTAAAATATCCCTCCCCGTTGCCATGGTAACAAGTGTCAAAACTGTGAAAGCTTTACCACGTGCCGCCGTAGCACGTTGCTTGTAGTTATTCTTAGAGAATATTATCTTCTATCTAATTAATAATTAATAATTATGGAAAAAGGTGTACCGCCGGATCTGCGCAAGTGGCTGAGGAAATGTCTGAGGAAGGAGTTCGGGAAAACTATACAAAACGCTATAGACCAGGAGCAAGATAGTAGCGAGATCGCTCGCAAGCTCACATATTCCAGGGACATGGCCAATCTGCTGAATTCCATGAAAATGGCGATCACCGAGCAGTACATAGTTGTGAAACCGTCGTCCCCGGCGTCGCGTTCACAGTCGTTGCTCTCGTTCACGAGTGATTTGACGACGGACGACTGGGCCGCTTCTCCGCAGGGAGAGGACGGAGAACGATATAACTACGTCATAGACAAGATCAGTCGCGACAAGCCGGTCCACGTGAGATTGTCCGGCTATGAGATCTTGCTGAAGATCGATTTGTCGAATGTGAACAACAGTTCTCAATGGGACGTTTTGCAGAAGACATTGTTGGACGGTCTCACGGACGATAGCAGAGCCATATTCGAGGCCAGCATGCAAGTGCACGCCAAGTTGCTGAGTTGCGTGCATGTACACAGTATCTACGGCAATCTACTGAACGCCTTCAATGCGCAGTACCATTCGCAAAAAGTGCGCGAGACCCTACCGACTCTCATCTCCGGAATCAACTTCAAGTTCTTCCTGCACGAGAAACTGTTCTGCATAATGCACCTGATAATCCGTTACCAGGAAGAGCTGTTGAAGAGCGTTCGACACATCGACAAGACCACGGAGGACATCGTGGAGCAATTTGTGATATTTCTCAGTACACATAGCTTCGGCAACACGCTGCAGCCCAAGACCTTAAACATGCTCAACATCATCTCGGTGTTGGAGCCGCGAGCCAAGTGGAGCAAGAGATGGCTGCACGGTCTGTCCACCAGGAGGACGTTCGTCGCCGCTTTGGCCAGGTCACCGACGTTCCTGCAGAACGTCGTGGAGTGCGTGTCCAACGGCCTGCGGGCGACACCCTGTTCCTTGACCGCCTCCATCGTGGACGAAGGCAATGAACTATGTATTCCTGGAAATACGATTGAGACCGTCACCTACCTGCACTGCTTAGTCCTCGTGTCGCAACTCTGCAGCTACGAGGTGGGCAGAGCGTTGCTGACGGGCGGTTCGTTGAAGGCGTCATTCGAGATCGCTGATTTCTCGACCGAGCTGTCCAACTCGCTGAACAAATTGGCAGCTGAGGCGCCGAGCGGGGTGTACGACACTTGTCGCCACGCTCTGCAAAGCGTACTGAACGTGTCGGAAGTGTTGTACAACATGGAATTTTATCACGCTGCGCTGTGCCACTTGGTATCTCTCCCGGAGAACGATATAAAAATATGGCCGCACACGTTGGACGTGATCTCCCACATGGTGGATACCGCGGACGGTCCTGCGTTTTTGACTACCGACTGTAAGGAGCATTCTTCAAAGTCCAATGAGGACGCACCGTCGAAATGCCCGGTCGCGATTTTCATGCTGTACGTGACGAATTTGCTAAAACGACCGTTTTCCATAATGGATATGGAATGCATCCTCGGCTCGTTCGGCCTGATGGAGAAACTGTTCGATGTATACGACGTGTACGAGGCCGCGCAGGTACAGATAGAGACGCAGTTTTATCCAGCCGTCACTAATTTCTACAAGAAGATGAGCAAGCACGGCGTCGAGAATGAGAATAAGATTCAGCAGCTCGATAGGTAGTAACCGAGGACTCGAATTTCAACGCAAGTTTCAACTAGGATAATGACCTCTAATTATTTAATAAACAATTAATTCATACAAAACGTTTTTTATCTGATCTTTAGGTAAAATGAATTTGTATGAAACATATGTAACACATATGTAATATGTAATACAAAATTACTGAATATAAATTTTTAAATCACCTTTCAGCGCCATCAAAAAGGTTCTGCTGAAGATGGTATCGATACCGCTTGGTTTGCAAGCGCTCGTCAACGAGAAACTCGTGTTCGAGGAATTGATTCGCGGATTGATCGTCCCGCTGAGAGCGTCCTGGAGTTCCACCGATATAGTCAGCTTCATCTCGTCCGCCGGTTACTTCGATCTGGGCTGCACTGTGCTCGCAGATCTCGCGCCGCACGTCCTGTCGACTCTGTTGTCGCAAACCTGCGCGAACGCGGAGGATCCCGCGCACTTCTATGATCCTTGGGACCGAGAAAATACCAAGAAGTTTCTGCATATACTCACGTTGTTCTCCCTTAATTTAAATTGTAAATAACACACAAGCGACTCTTGCACCGTTTTATTGTACTTGTCTTTCCCGAGTAAATGATTCGTACTGCGGGGTAGGTTTCGCGGCATTCATGACGAACGACGAGTCGGATAACGACGAGGAGAAGGATTATCCTTCGAACCTGTCGGAATTACTGCAGACCGCAGTGAATGAGAACTCGAGTTACCACCATTTGGGTCTGCTGTCATTAAGCACGGTCATTTGGAACTTGGATGTCTTCGTCTACCTAGTGAACTCGTTGAACTTTCAGGTAACGCGACAAATGCACTGCGCATTGAAAAAATGTAATTATAATTACGCACGATAACAGCTGTACGATTTGTAGGAAGCTTTGTTAAATATTCAGAAGGAAAGCACGATTATTATTGAAGCTCGCGAGGAACAAGCTGACGAGGACGTCGATTACGAGCGGTCTATGATAGACTGTGACGACGGTGATGGTGATAATTATAAGACAGAATCCACGAAGGAATATGTAATCGACGATTCCAGCTTGCTGCGGCATGATATCTTGGTGAAATCCTACTATATGACTCCCAAGAAAAAGGAATACACATTGCCATTGGAGGATTATCAGCTGTTCTCAGAATTCCCACCACCCAAGATATACGAGGACACGGCAGATGCTTATATGGAATACGATTCGGAACTGAACGACATGCTGCAAGAAGAGAGACCCGGGCTGTTGGACATCGGTTGGGTGTCGCAAGTTCGAGCAGCTCACAAAGCGTCGCGGTCTCCAATGAAGGTGATTTCACTGAACGAATTACAATTATGGCGCAAATATTATCCAATAGCGATGGATCGAATCTATACGCAGGGCAATGGTCTTTACCTTAGAACTCTGTGGTAACGAATTTACTGAACCAAATGCACAAAGCCATCCCGACCGCAGAGTGGGTGGAGCAGTTTGTGTGGCAAGAGAATATAACGTACGACGCGGACTACTGGGTCCCAGAAGACGCGCACGCGATCAACGTCGCTCTAAATTACGCGGAGCAACGGCAGATCTTGAAGAACAATGACGATACCCAGCAGAAGTTGAAGCAGTTTATTCATTCCGCCTACATGTTCATACAGTACAACAAACCGAGCAAGTTCGAGGGCTTCGACTGGCTCTTAGCGACAGTATTTATTATCTGCGACGGAGATCTGGATAAGTATGTTAAACTTTGATAATTATTCGAATTAATTTCCCGCCAGAGAGAAAGAGAGTTTAAGCCTCAGCTGATCAGTCGGCGAATCAGTCGCTCGACGGTGTCTTTGTTTCAATCAATATTATCACTTCGTGATCGAAAGGCACGGTAGTAATCCGCCACATAATCACCAAGACGATAAAATTGATCGAGCAAGGTTATTGCATTGCCATCGACATCGATTAACTCGAGCTAATCATGTATCATCATCGGCATCGGGTCTCAGGTTGAAAACTTGTTTTTCATTTAGTCATTACTCAGAGTAACGACCCTCAACTACTCAGTCTCATCATTGACCTCTTTCGCCAGATGATACGATCATTAGCGGTAATTGATTGCAGATGCAAGACTTTCATCACGCAATTGATTCAATTCCCATCGACTATGCTTCTCTGGCCGAAGTTGGGTCGTGTTATGGACGAGAGGAATAACGAAAACACCAGCTCGCAATTTACTTTCATGCAAGTTTTAGAGGCCATGGTCAATATCGAGCTTCCAAATATCAAGTACGGATTGAAGGTGATCGATTTTTATTGTACGAAGATAATTTTAAATCTAAAAATAGAATTTAATGTTTCGCCTTAAACGCGATAAGGATATATGCGGCATCGACTGCTGGATGATATTTAACAGAATGATATCGCAATGTTTCTGGGGAATTCTCTCGTGGAGCGAGATAGTTCATTTCATCGCAATTTGCATTTTATATCCGCCCGATTACATGGTGTACTACTGCGTATCGCTTTTGCAATTCTGCGACGAATTTCTGCTGGAAGATTTAACAAGCGGAAAAATGTGGCCAGAGAACATGGTAGGGCTGCATGTGCATATAAATTCGGTGAAATTAGTATTGCTAAGTGTATCGTCAGAGGTAATTCGCCAAATATATTTTCGCACAGGCATTGGACGAGTACCGTTGTCACAATTACATTTCGTATATGGATAATTTAGGTCAGCGATACAGAAACAAAGTTTTACCGGCGATGACCAAAAACATAAATTCAGAAGATGAATTATAAAACACTGGACTACCTCGGTTCATATTTGAAAAACTGGGATATATGATAAGAAAAACGCGTAGCGTTTGTGTAAATAAAAATAATGTAAACTCTGGTAATGTAAAATGTTTTATAGAATACTTATACACCAAAGTGCGTACGTATGTGCGCATGTGTGTACAATTATACGTTAACAAAACAATTAATTTCTACAATAAGTAGTAATTGACTGTTGCGTGATAATTAATAAAATCGTTTTTCCTTTATTTCCTATAAATGCTCTCAGTTAGCATACTAACTATAATAAACGTACATACACATCGCATATTCCTATGAAAGTTTCGTGTACACAAACTGTATTTAGAAATCAATATGTATAATACACAAAGTAGCTCTAGCGCCCATATACAATTCGCGTATCTGCACAGCATAGTGTCATACTAGTTGTTACTTGCGGGTTTTCCATCATCAACAATACCTCGAACAAGAAAGTCAAATACTTTTTTACGCAAAAGTACAATAATTTCGGAGTATTGTCCTTCACTTTTGTCGTCGGCCAAAGAATTAATCGTCATGAATAGTAAATACTTTCGCTACTTCGTTCAGATCATCATACTTTGTGCCTTTTGCAAGAACCTAAAGTGATACGAAATAAAAATCAGGTTAAATTAAATTATGTGAAAAACAGAGAAACCGATTGATATATCTTAATATCTTAGCACAAACATCTACAATCATCTCACCTGTCTGGCAACTCGCATTCGGTTGAAGATATTCCACAACACTATTCCTACTACAATATCGTCCTGGAGGTAGAAAACAACGCCTTTGCTGAAGTCTTCCTTGGGTGCTTTTACTGATTTTGCATCATCTTCATTTATTTCTTTCTTTTCTGAACCCGTACGATCCGTGTTCTTCACGATTTCCGATGATTCTTCTGATTTTACATTAGATTGCTGCTTTTCAGGATTCGACTTTTATTTTTTGGAAGAAAAAAAATAATATGATATAAGTAATTTTAAACGTACTATATACTTTTATTGTATCGTGGGAAGTTCGCTTACTTTGTCAGGATTGCCAGCCGACTCCGAATTTTTTTCTTTCGCGCTTGGTTTTGCGAAGACTGCAACAGTTGGCAGGGACGAGTCTATAATACCTACTGCTTCGTATCCCACATCAGGTCCCAAGTCGGACCAAAACATCGCTTGATGCAGATATGGTTTACCTATGACAACAAAATTCAAGTGTCCCTTTATACTTTATTCTCTTGCAGTTAAACATTTCGGAGATATTCATAAATTCAATTACCTGCACCGGTCATATTTTCGCCTGCTAATCTTCCAGAGACAACGGCATGATCATGATGTTCGACCCTTCGCCTGCCAAGAATAACATCATAGAAACATGCTGCATCACCAGCAACCCAAATATTGCTTCTTGCCTCTAACTCAGCATTAACGAGGAATCCTCCTATTTTAGAATCCGTCTCTAAACGGGAAGTTTTCGCCAGATCTGTATTTGGTTCCGCACCTACTGCTACTATCACTCGATCAACATCCATCTTAACAATGAAACAAAACAAAACAAAACAAAGTCCATTAGTCGCAAAAAAGTACACGAAATCTTTTAAAATCACATGTTAACATACAGTTTCACCACCAGTGAGAACGAGAGACAATCGATCGTCTTTATATCTAAAATCTTCAACTTCTTTGCTAGGTACAATTTTAACACCTTCGGCTTCAGCCTTTTTCGTGGTCCACTCGCTTAAGTATTCCGGTAATACTTGAGCCATTATAAATTTTTCTCTGAAGATCTGATAAATGTTTTTAGATTTATCTGTTAAAAACAAATTTTATATTAATAAAATAATTTTTCAAACATTATTTCGCCAATAAATAAATCAGAACGAAACGTACAATTCTTAGCAAGCACACAGGCGAGTTCGGAGCCCAGAAATCCGCCACCGATGATAGCGATATTCTTACATTTGAGGTCGGATATACTTTCCTCTAGATCAAGAAAATCTTCCTTTGTTCTGTATGTTGTGATCTTATCTTTCACACTGTCCTGAGTGGATTCAAATACCGGAAGATTTTTTGGCGATGAACCTGTAGATGCAATTCCATATAAAAAAGATCAAATTCTATATTTGTAAAATCTTACTTTTATATGTTCAATGAAACTCACCAGTTGCTAAGAGACACTTATCATATTTTATTTCATAACCATCTTCGAGAATCACCGTTTTATTTATAGCGTCGATTTTCGTTACTTTCCAACCTGTGGCTACAGCAACTCCACCTTTCTCAGATTTCATGAGATTATCAATGGTCAAATAGAACTCACGTGGTTCATAGAATATGCTACGACATAAATGTACAGAAAAATGTTATGTATATGTAAAACTATCATTATTGTATTAATAATATTGTATAATTAATATTTTTTGGATGATGTAATTATTTAGTAGCCTGTCAGAGAGAAGAAAGTGCATTACTGGTGAATCAGCTGTCCGGAATATGTTAGATTTATTAAACTTTACCTCCTCTGAGTTCCATTCCACTGGTTAAAACGTAATTGCTGTGTTGTATCTTTGTCTGTACTGTACCAAAGTTCTTTGGATAATGGCGGTCTCATATATGGAAAGTCCTCTTCCTCTGTTATTACTAGAACCTGGCAAAGAAAATTTTTATTTGTGCTGTATATATAAGGAAATCAGTTTCAATATATTATACTATTGACATACTGTAGCTTTGGGATCCCTAGATTTAATTGACCTAAATGCTGAAAATGCAGCTGTTCCACCACCTATTAATAGATAAGGTACTTCTTGGGGTATCAATTTCGATTCTGCTGGAGTTTTCACTTTCTGTCTAAATCTTCTAGGCTTCCTTTTTTCCTTCTTTTTAGAAACTACAAATGATACAAATAGCATATTTGATATGAACTTTAGTATCCTATCAAAATAATTTTTGTTTTAATGATATTTACTTATAAGCTTATTTTTTAACTCACCTGCTCCATTATCTTTTGACCCAAATGTTGAGAATAGCTGTTAAATATTTCCAAAATCAATTAGAAATATAAAGAACAAATTGGTGTGATTGGTACTGTTAAGTATAGAATTATCAATACACACCGTGTATCCAGCAACTCCGGTTACAACCAAGGCAGCCAGCAAGTGCCAATACTGAAATTGATATTTTTTGCCACCTCCATCACCCGATTGCTTTTGCTCTTGATTACAATTCGGAGGACAAGACCCATTACGTAATTCACAAGCAGGAACCTCTTTTTGTGGCTTGGAATATTTAGATTCAGGCACACATTCTTCAGGTTTGATAGTGGTGCCTCGTGACTTTTTATTGCTCACATCGCTACTGTAATGTAACTTGCTAATATTTACAATCCCTGCAAACATTTTTATTTAGCTATTAAAAGAACATTAATCAAAAAAGATGTTATCAAGGGGAAATCTTTATTGATCAAAGGCAATTATCAATGATAATGCAAAAAAGAAAAAATAAGATGAGACATACTATATACGACAATCACAACTGATCACCAAAAAATATAAAGCGTAAGACAAAAAAAGTGCAAAAGAGCGATTTATCCTAAAACATGATACAATTTTCTCTCTTGCGTTACATCATGTGCTTGCTGCCTACTTCAGAGCAAACAAGCCGCGTGGAAACTTTTACTGTAAACACAGTTCCGACTGCCCGGAAGCTGCGATTAATACGGTCGCGCAAATGCGCCGTAGACGGTGCGAAATCAACGACACAAGAAGCATAAGTCGAACAGAGTCTCTTTACTACCGAGAAAAAACCGGTCATAAAATAGGCGGGAAACGAGACGAGCTCTCCCGAGAAGTCTCGTGACCATCGCAGATCCTAAGACAGTGCGAAATGCGTGCGAAGCAGATCGCGGCTGCGAAAACGTCGATACGTACCCACGTAATTAACCGGCTGATATAAACGAGTCATATGCATCAGCCTGGACGATAATCGGCCGATGACTCTACCACAGACGATCATTTTCACCGGGTCCACGTCGTCCGTCCGTTTCACTCAATATGGTGGCGCGCCTTCCCTCAGCTGCTGCCGTTACTAGTGTATACCTGCTGGCTACTGCTGCTGCTCTCGGCCTCGACCGGAAGAACGAACTCGACGATGCACAACATGGGACACTCCATCACACGGGACACCTATTCTACTACTTGCTTGTTCGTCCGTTTGTCTGTTTTCCTTCCTCTCTTGGCTGCTCTCTATCGTGCGTACCCTCGCATCGGGTCGACCGTCCTGTCGGCTCCGACCACCAAGACCTACCGAGAGCTAGCCACGTGATTAAGGCAACAATGTCAAACGAATGGACATAGAGAGTATATAAATTTTACAAAAGCCCTTCGCACCCCGCCGAATTTGCGAGTGCCTTCGTTTACCCGGGCATGTATGCACGAATCTAACCACACAGAGCACCACGCGCCGAAACCGCACGGGACGAATCGGACTGGCTGAGCGTGGCTAACTTCAGACGAGTTCGGTCCGCCGGTCAATTGATAATAGCGCCATGAGAATCGATGAAATATGACGCACGAAAGAGGAAACGAATGGATTACGTTTTCATTGAGGTTAACAGAATCTTTGGAATCTGCAATATCAGGTTTATATTTTTTTAATTTTTCTTACATAACTTCTCTTATTACCGGCGTAACGCCATCATGTGGCCATCATTTATCCGCGATAATGAAAGCGATTTTTACTAGACACTGTTAGATGGCGCCAGCTACCACCTTTCACGTCCATCTTCCCGAAAGCGTCATCTGGTCGATTGGTTCTTTCGCTTTGCAGCCATGGAACGGATAAGATACGAAAATGGCGCCATTAGCTTGCAGAGAAACGTCTTCCAAATTCTCCTATAGATTTCTCACTTGTATTCGGCAACAGGCTCGCTTATAAAGAAGAGCTTAAGTCTGATCTGACATGCATGAGGTATGTAGCAGTAACGATATCAAAGAAAGAATGATCTAAAGATGGTATTAATCGGTATTAGGTCGTTATGTGGCGTCTTTTCTTGAGCGTTACCGTTGAAAATAATAGACGGTAAAATGGTTCTCAGATATATGCGCTGAACATTAAGAAAATAACAACTTAATTCGCAGATATTAGTACATACGTACGCATATCGGTATCGATCAAGTAGAAAATTTGTTACTCGTTCCCCACCTCCCCCTTCTCCTTCTAACCTACCTAAACATATATGTAATTCAATTTTTGAGCTTGTGCCGCGTCTATCTTGAATTTATTTCTGACGTTTTGTGAACATTCCAATTCATTTCTTCAAGGAGAGAAACGTCCAGAAATCCAGAATAGTTTTTCGATGTTTTCCTCTCGGAAGGAGTGAACTGGAATGTTCACGAAACGTCACAAACAAATCCGAGATGGATGCAGCACACACATACACACACACCCACACACTTAAAGCCCGAAAATCAAATAAAATATTTCTTTACATCGCAAAAACCTAAAAATATCAAATTTAAACATATATATCAAATGCTATCATTGAATTAAAAAAAATTCATTATAAATATAATACTGTTCTTCTATAATATATTTCTTTGCATCGGTTTCATTAGATTAGATTCAATTATCATTAGGTTCAATTAGACTAGATTTTATCAATGAACTTGTTTCCAAATTGTGTGAACTCCAATTTACGTGACTTCCGGTCATTGTGTCGGATCGAATAAGCGAGTGTGAACTCGACGATTCTGCAACGATTAGACCCAACACTTTTAAAGAGACATTTTTCAAACATAACACATATATTTAACAAATGTTTTTTTTTCACAGCATTGTGAATATTATTATTATGAAATATGATTGTGTTTATCGGAATGATATCCGCGCGAGCTGTTCGCGATATCGATATTTAACGTTTGATTGTATATAATCATGTACGGGAAAACGCTTTAGCAAAAAAGAGCAAACATTTCTATTAACGTTGACTCCTCGCCATTATTGTTAATACGCATGTACTCCTCTCACGGTTATCATTCGATCGATTGAGTTTAATTTAGTCGAGTCTCGCCTCGGTTTCCGAGCACGATAACTATAGAGCATCAATATTTAATAGTCGATACTTAGTTTTTAATCACACGTGTAAATAAATACATGCAAATATTACGATATTGATGGGGAAAGATGCAACACAGTGGGGATTTCCCGGCGATAGGTTATGTATGTATGAATCTCGTATTAATATAGTTGCGCAAATATAATTACTGCAGCTCTCTCTCTCTTTCTCTCTCTCTCTCTCTCTCTCTCTCTCTCTCTCTCTCTGTCTCTCTGTCTCTCTCTCTTTTTCTGTGCCTCTTTTCCTCTCTTTTCTGTTCTTTCGCGCGAGTAATCTCGCGTAAGCATACTTCTCTCTCGATTTCTTCTCCGTAATCAGATATTTAAACACGAATAACGACACAAGTTCAAACATCGGACGAATAAACATTATTATACTACTGATAACGTTACATGCGCAAATATGCACATGCGAATGGCGCGCGAACTTTTATTCGCGAAACGTGCGAAACACTCTTCGTGTTAATTCATGCACAAAATCACATTTAAGATTATTATAAACCGCACCATTGTGCAGGCGACACGATAATCGATTTAATTAATATATAAAATATGAACTATTCGATCTGATAACTGTTCGACAATAGTATAACTTTTGAAACTTAATCAACACTCAACCGCTCGTCCTTCGTGTCAGAATGAAAATTTGCATGTTCCTATTCTTAACTCTAGTTGCCATCGTCCATTGGAAATGCCTCGAATAGCACAAGATGTTCTCGGATTACCCTGGACGTATTCAGGGACCACCTGGAACATTCTCCAGACACTTTCGACACGTTCAGAATGTTTTTGGAAATGTTTTTGCCTCGTACTCTATTTGAGATGGTAACTCGGAAATCCGATCGCCAGGATCTAACACAGCCTCGCGATCCATCATCGACAAACACGTGGTATACTCAACGAAAGCGCCTGTACTCAGCTCGGTACACATACCGAGTCGAGTACGGTATGTTTTCGTTGAACATAGCACGGCGAACAGGGGGGATGCATTATGGAGTCGTTCGAAAAAGGTTTCCACATCGAAACGATCCTGTTTTTCGTCGGCTGTCCTATTACTGGCGTTCGGATAGCATCTGAAACGACCGGAAAGTTTCTAACACTTCACCAGACGACCGGACGAAGTCGATCCCAATCGAGAGAGAATATTTTTCACGTCTCGCGCGGAAATACGCGCGAGATCGCTTTGCGATCGGAAGAGATTGTTATCGTCTGTCTTATCCGCCGCCTGTTCCTCTCGCCTGATCTCTGTCTAACTATTTGTTTGCAGGTGACAACACACGGAAGTCATCTAAGTTACTTCTCGACAGAAACGTTCATCTCCGTGCACGTGGGGCCACTTGCGACGTCCTCGGTGCTTTTAAGCACTGGACCACTCCGCTTGCGTCGCGGCGCTGCATAGCTCGAGAAAGGTCCGGAGGCAGCCGCAACAGCCAATATGTCTGCGTGTGCTGCAAGTGAGTCGCCGAGCTCGAATAATTACTTTTTCGTAACCGCCGTTGCATCGACGTGATTTATAAGTGACTTGCGACACGTGGAAAACGATCCTCGGTTTATTCTCATCGCCGACTGGTGTGACATATTAAGTTCTTATGGAATTTTATGTGCGGTTATTTCAGGAGACGCACGTGTGTGTCTTAATAACTTGTACATGCATAATCAGTTTACATTTTTTTTTATTACATATTTTTTATTACATATTACACATTTTTTGTTTACATTACATTTTTATCGCATATGCCTGGATATTCGGTAAAAAAGTTATCTTTCGCGATTCTCAGCGAATCATTGATCACCTGTATGATTCAGAAGTTGGAAACCAATTCAGGGATTAATTTGTTGCTGTCGAAGAAACATGGATTTTGCATTTTGTTAGCACTTTTCACCGGCGCATATATAATTCTTTTATCCTCCTCTCTCTCCACCTATACATTCGCCTGCAATAAATACTTAGGTATTTACATGAAAATCAATATTACGTTTGTATATCTTTTACATTTTTACAACTTACATACCTTTGTTTTCTCTTCGAAAGCAAATATGTACTATTATGTAACACAATAATACATTCATCATATTATTGTATATATATATATATATAATCGCTGAATCGCAGAAGTCGCTGCGCGTGTTGTTTTAAATTGTGGTTTAACCAATACCGATTTAAACTGGTTTAAACATGTGTGAATTTTACGAAGAAACAACATTGCTTTTTTTTCTATTTCGAGACGTGACATGAAACGCGTAAGGAGAGAGGGAGGAGATTTCGAAATGATAGTAGACTTCCAATATCGGAACAAATGTATTGGTCGATCCCTATTGCAAACACACGCTCGAGGAAAATTCACCAATTCAACTTCTTCCGGATTAGATCCGATATCGTTCTCCTGAAAGTAACAGTTGCATTATTAAGACGCGAGATCTGGAATGATACCACGTTTGACGCGAAGAAGATCGTTTCACCATCGCTCACCTGTCGCATATGCAAATGGCGATGTGATTCGAATCGATGCAATGACCGCCGGCTTTTCCCATTGATAAGCAATTTGCGCTGCAAGCGCTATCGCTGAACTCGCAAGTGAGCCTACGATATCTTCCGGCACGTTCTTCCAATGAGCTATGTAAGAGCTTCAAGAGTTTGTATCCGTCTTCTAAAATTCCGCTTTTTATTCGTAAACTAATATTAAGATCAATGGCCGTATCTTATATGCGCAAATTAATTTACTAAGTAATTTAATACCGCTCACTGTACTACGTTATTTTGCCGTACTACGTTACGGTATGCACAAATGCTCCAGCTGGCGCTGCCACGACAGCAGTCACGACAACGACCAGAGAAGCGGTGAAAACATAAGGCCTCATGATCACGAAACTCTTCGAGACTCAATTAAAACAACTAATTATTCTCTCGTTACTTACTCAATCTTATATTGTAAGTGTGAGAAGACCTTAACCTCTTCACCTACGATATCGTGTGAGATTCGAGGAATTCGGGCCAAACATAAAAACTATGAGTGAGGGCTCTGTACGTTTATCGGTACAAACACAACAAACACGAGTCAGGCTCGTAGTACGTAGATCGGGCCAAACGTAAACAACACGAGTCAGGCTCGTGGTTCAATTGTCGCCGATGCCTTTCCATCTCAGTTACGTGTTATTCTTGATTCATATTCGCATGTTCAAATATATTTCCTTAAAAATATTAGAGAAAAACGCTATAATGTCCAGGTAATAAATCATTTTTGTTCATTTTTGTTCACTAATAAATCGTTCGTAATTGTTTCCCAGACATCTTACAAAATTAAACCAGTTATACCTCACACATTATGCATATAGATGTATGCGATTGGCACAAGTTCGAGCACATGGCCAAACAGCTAAATGGCTCGACGCGTAACTGACCTTGCTGTTGATTGTGGCACGTGCCATCGGAATTTAAATCGTAGTACAAGGAGTCAAGATCGAAATTCACCTTCGAGCTTGATTATCTAAAGATACGATTTTGAAGATGAGACAATGAAGTCACGTCTGATCGCTAATGTATAGCGAATCCGTGTTATAATCGCAGAAATCGATACTCGACTTCGAGTGGGAGACGTGACGGTTTGTACGCGTTGACTGGCGTGCTGCAGCGTCAAAGTGAATTTAGTCGGTCAAGATCTGTTATACGACTTAATCTGATCGAAATTACGTATGCAGCAACGCGGGAGAAGAACGAGAGTTACGTAATTCAATTTACTGAAAACGAAAAGAATTAAAGCGTCGATAATGAAATGTGCTACGCGTAGTGCGATCGATCGCGATACAATATCCGGTGCTTTGTTTTGCGACGATATGAGAATTTACCCGTTTCACTATCCCACCCGCTAGAACAACAATTACGGCAACGACAGCGTTCGCCGGCAGCGCGTATTTGTTTTAATAGATAGCATAAATATTTTTCTCATCTGCATACCACGCGATTTATTGCTGACGATATTTACGTATTCAAAATGTGCGCGCGAGTATAACAGAAGTTATAACTAAAATTCCACTATATATCGTTAATGTTTTCTTTTTCTTTTCTACAACGCGAGGATTTGTAAATAAATTTACAAATCTCTACAATCTGAAAAACGATTTCTATTATTAAGAGTAAAAGTATAGAATTGAACGTTGCTATATTCGTATTCAATTTTCCGATGATTATTGAGAATTAACAATTAGAAGTTAAGAATTTATGCGCGAATTTGAATTTGAAATACCTGAATATATGAGAACTTAAACAATGCCGAATATTTTAGGGACTTCAACAGAGAGCCCCGTTTGACTGTTTCTGCAAGTTAATAGATAATGCAGATGGCGAAACTGCAGCGTTCAAATCGAGAAGTTATCAGACAGCCAAGCCAGCTTCTATTGTCGCACAAAAAAAATCGACCGAAGGGTGGTTGTAACACGCCAGAACGCACCGAGTGTATCGAAGGTAATAGTTCTTCGATTTTCAATAATTACAATTTCTCGGGAAAACGTTGCTGATAAACCATGAATATGCATACATTTTTTTTCTCTTTCTTTTTCATCACAATTAATCTTTCTAATGTTGATAAATAATTTAGAATAAAAAATCGGTTCATTATATACTCGTAATTGTTAAGTTTTTCTGCTTAAACCGTTTTAATGTAACTCTGAAAATTAATGTTCTCTTATCATCAATTTCGCATTGTTTAAAGCAAAAAATTATTAATATATCTAAAAAGAGAATGATGGAACTTTACGTCAATTTTGACGAATATGAATTTTGATAAATGTTCACTCGTGAATATATGATAAAACATTTCTAGAATGATCGCTTAAATGTCATATATAATTAACTTAGCACTAGAAGCGAAATACGCAAGTTTTTTTCCAATTCATCGAGCAATGATGCTCTAATTCGCGTATTCACTTTTAATTATGGTACGTAAACAGAATAATGGCGACAGTATTTAAATTAAAACAGCACGTAAAGTGTTCGCGAGTTGTCTTGAAAAAAAAAGGTTATATTAACAATACGGTACACACTCTTAAACGTGATAGCGACATCACCATCAAATATCATGACGGACGGCCAGAGGGAATGGGAAACGGGGGGAAGGGGGAGGAGATAACCGGCATACCACAAATGACACATCGAAATTGCGACTTCTGACGATCAAGCGACATCGAGCGTAAAATTTTCATGACAAATATTTGATTTCCCGTTTAACGCTGAATTTCATGTCACTGGTGTTGTCGTACCACGTAACGAATAATAGACAATTTCCGACGACGTGTAACGTTGCAATCATAACGATCGGAAAATCAGACGGTGAGAGACCTGGGATACAGTTCGATTACATATAGTTGACGATATTATCTAATTTATATCTTTAAACAATAACACGTTGATACGATGCTCTTCGACATCGCTGTTACAGATATGCAGTTACCATGTTGGGAAACGTCAAAATATGTGATCTACTCCGTCACGAAAGAGCTCGGAAAGAGCAATGTCTCGACAAACAGTCGCGGATGTAAAGAAAAAGAACGAACGGAAAGCGGCTTAATAATCGTTCGTCTACATGGTGAGTAGTTGTTTTTTTCATCATTTATACCTTCAAATCTTCTAATTCGTCAACGAGTCTGCGCGTGTGTCCGAACGGTGAATCTCAGGATAAGAAGAGTGCAGCTGGCAGTATTTATTAGCTGATAATAAGTTTTGCGTTTATCAGAGATCGTCGATTTTAATTAAGACGTACCACAGACACGTATACCCCATAGATCTCGATGGGGAGGGGAGAAAAGCGTGGTCGACAGAGAAAGAAAATAGACGGCGGAATGGACGGGGCAAAGTGGAAGGGGGAGAGAGGGGTAAGGGAAAGCGGTGGGAGTTGATAGAAAGAAAAGTGGGAAAATGCGACCGGGAAACCAATATGCTTTGTGCTTCGGCGTGCAATTAAACGGCCGAGGGAGTTTACCGGCGATATTTTTCGACCAGCGATTATTAGGATTTTTCTCCCTCGTCCCCTGGGGCGTAACCGGATGATTCTGCGGTCTGGAGGGTCCTCGAGAAACAAATGCGGCGGCGGTGGCGGCGACGGCGGCGGCCACCGCGTGTACGCGCACTCTCTTTCTCTCCGCGCAGGCTTTCGCGCGCGCGGCTTTCATTAAAAATCGGACTCATCATTCATATCCTCTTCGTCTTCTTCCCCTTCGTATCTCTCTACGCGTCTTTGTCCCCCTTTGGCACTTCTCGTTTCTGACGGGCCCGCTGTCCACTCGTTGAAAATGATTTCCTGCGTACGAGCGTTTGCCATTCAACCGCTATTTAGACGGAGAATACCACTTGCAGCGCATGTGCGCTCATACATTGGTAAGCTCGCGATAAAATTTTACCACGACACGAATCGCGAATATCTAATTTGTCGTTCGAAATTTCTGGACTTTTCCGAGACCGCTTTTCCCGCGGGCTCATCGCCGTGATGAGCGCGTACAGACGACTCTTCGGCCGCTTTAATAACAATTATAACAATAATAGGCTTTATTAAGACCTTTTTGTCGCTCTAGTAACCGATTATTATATATATTTTTTTTTAATTCATTAAATTAATTCATATTCGTACTCCGTAGGAATAATTGCAATCTCAAATAAAGTTAACGATTCATCGCGAGATAACCGAGCTGAAAATACATTGTGTAATGATACATGCAAGAATATAATTTACAGAACACATTTCGAGTAATATGCAAAATGCACTCGTTCCAAATTATATATCTATTATCACCTATTATACATCGTGCGTGCAACGCGATGTATGGGTGTGTTATTTACAATTATGCGTTTACATTTCAAATAATATCGCGTACATATCAATCACAGGAAAACACTGCAGCGAGAAAGAAGCGAACCGGGAGGTAGAATAAAATCTATTTTCCGGTCAACGTTAATTGTAACGATAATCGCTTGATGTATTCCGCATTAATATTCAATATCACTTTTCACTTCCGTTGTACGTGTATGCATTTTTTCTTTTTTTATTTCTTCATGAAAAATAGAATATTCGCCAAAAAATATCATCAATATGCGCTATGTACTAAATATATTGGACGGTAAAAAAATATTGGTAAATTTACCTCGACTGATTTTAATTTGCTTTCTAGAATTTTTAATCTCGGAGAAACACGCGCAAGTTCCGAATTTGGGAATGCGGCGGCAATCTGAAAGGTTCGACCTGGACTGGTCGCACCGCACATCCCGATACAAAACAAATCCAGTAAAACGTTTCAATTAAACAAACAAATTAAACTGTTCACTTTCCGAAAATTTATCGTATTAGGAATCGATATTACACCCAGTGATCGTTTGTTTGACCATTTAACTGATAGTACAACGGAAATTAATATTACCGTTGTTCCCATCTATGTGCATCGATCTGATAAACAAAATGTACATAGTAAGCGATCGCGATCTCGCGTCGCGAGACGCAATAAATATGAGAAACGCGAGTGTGTATGTGTATGTACGTATAAATGTATATATGTACGATTTGTGACGTCATGAAATATACGACTCATAGTAGCGAAGCAAAACACACGGAAACGTTTCTCGCGTTAATGAGATAATGCCGCATTCGTTCACAATGAAATTATAAATCATGGCAATGTTTACAAATTAAGCGTTATGGACCAGGAGAGGCGCGTGACGCGACACGAGCGAGCGATTATCTCGTAAAAGTCATTGCGACAGGCTCATGCCGTTTTCGAGGACGCGCGTGTCCTCCAAAGAGTGCGATCAAGTCGATTTCGAAAGACGGTCTCGATCCTTCGATTCAACTGCTCGGTAGCGCGTAGTATTCGAAGCCACGATCGAAAGAGGAAAAGGGAGAGAGGGAGAGAGAGAGAGAGAGAGAGAGAGAGAGAGAGAGAGAGAGAGAGAGAGAGAGAGAGAGAGAGAGAGAGAGAGAGAGAGCTTTGTATGACGTAGTAAACGTGATTACACCTGTCACTTTGCGAAGACGCGTGGCGGTACGATTGCGAGAGAACCCTCGACGGCCGTCGCTGCTGTTGCGGGAGAGAAAAGAGACTGCACGGACAAAAGAGACGTCCGATTCCCCCGGTCGTCGTCATTAACCGCAACCTTCGACGTGCTCTCGCACTTTCTACATGGCCATCAAATCGCCATCGTAATATTTTCGATTACGACGACGGTTAGTAGGCCGTCGGTTACATCCACTCGGCGTGATTTACATTCCCCTCGTTACGATCAGTTTATTCGTGCCGTACAAAACATTCCGATTTCATTTCGTTCTCGTCCAGCTCCAATTCCATTTCCGGGATCGACAAACGAAGAGAGTCGCGTAATCTTATAAATATATTTCCGCGAATTAATTGAGGTGGGCTCACGCGGGACGGCATATGTGGCGGAACATCGATCGCGTTTGACACGCGAGACGTTTCTTGCTAAAATAACACGTTCAATCAAAAGGCAGGTTTGTATCAGGTCTTCGCGCAGCCACTTACTTCCGCATCTGTGGTCGACTTTTATTTAGTCTGCTTCACTCCTCAATCACGTGGCGACTTTTCCTTATTGAAATTATCGATCGCACGCGCCGAACGCGCGCGCGCGCGCCCGAGCAAGTGAGCGAGCGAGCGAGCGAGCGAGCAGGCGGGGAGAACCATCGCATCGCGGTAGGAGCGACCGTCGTCGTTAACTTCAGAAGCCACGCAATCTTCCGCCGGGTGCATTAAGCGTTCTCCTCACTTTCTATCTCACGGTATTACCGGCACTTAGGGAATTCGCATCGCTGATATTTCCGCGATAAAAGCGCGCGCGCGGCACGGATATTTATAAACTATAAACGTTGAACGGGCAATTGGGCAATAGCGGACGCATGGTGCGCTGTGTGAGAAACAGGTAACGCAACGACGATGAAGACGACGTTGTGGAAGTTTTAGAGCCCACGTTAAATACCTGTGGAGTAATTATTATAGGCGTGCGCGCGAGTACGCGGATTTTCGCAGTGGCGTTGTTTGCGCGACTTGCGAATTAGCAATTTACCCACGTAAAGTGCTCTCGAAACCAGAATGGGGAAGAGATAGAGAGCGAGAGAGAGAGAGAGAGAGAGAGGGAGGAGGGGGAAGGACGCAGAAGTTGTGAGAACAAGAGAGAGAGAGAGAGAGAGAGAGAGAGAGAGAGAGAGAGAGAGAGAGAGAGAGAGAAAGAGAGAGGAGAGAGTGAGAAGAGGGGAAGGGTGAGAGGGAAACCGATCGGCGTCCCGCTCTTGCTGCAGGATAAACGCAATTTGCTCGAAGGGAGGCTAATGCAGGAGTTAGTAGACAGGCGGTGCTGTAGGTCACGACATAATCCGATTTCCCGGGCGTTAATACGGGCGTCCCGGACCAGCGTCCGCGTGTACCCGCCCGTTACTTCTAAACCGGCCGTTTCCACGGTACAAGCTTCCGGACTCTTAACGACACCCGATATCGCCCGTTGTCATTAATAACATCGCCTGTGCCTGCCTCTCGAAGCCGCCGCCCTTTCGAAAAGTCGGCTTGAATGGATAGACATAACTTTGCTTCGCCCCGAGACATATCACCCGAAGGACATAGCGCGCGAACAATCTTTCTGTATGCATTAATAAGTACACAAGACGACGGATAATGACGGATAATAAGATATGATTGTGAGCGCGCATGATGAGGAAACGACGTACAGTCTCGGTGGGAGAAAGATTGGAGGAGGAGAAAGATATCGCGTAACATCTTTGTCTCGATGAATTTCAGATCGCGTTCAACAGTATCCAACAGAAAAATTTATCTTTGGGGTATTATCAACAAATTTCCCTTCTATCGGATACGTTTGGAAATTCATCGAGCTAAAAGTGTCGCAATCTTTTTTCCATTCGCGGTGAACGTTTAGTATGTGAGCGATATCGCGGAATCGAGAGAGATGGAAAAATCACAAAGTTCGCTGCATTTCCCGGCAAGGAGAAACCGGCACAACGAAAAAGCGACATGGATAAATTAGGTGAGACGGGCGCGTAACGCGGCAGGTATAAAACTAAACGCGTCAGAATCGAAAAAGAAAGATCAGTCGAACGCGAACGCACACATGTGATCGCGTTAACTTCAGACGTCTGCTGCAACAATCTTATTTTTTGGACTCGTCCCGAGGTGCGAGGATACAGCGGGAAAACAAGAATAAACAACAACAACAACAACATGGTGCCGGAGACCCAGAAAAACTCCAGACTGGGGGGGGGTTAACGGGGTCGCTCCGCTCGGACAGCCGTTGCGTCCCTTTCTTGCAACCTTCCCTTAAATCGTCCCGGTCTCTCGTACAACCCCCTCTCTCCTCCTCCCACACCACATTTTCTTCTGTTTCCTTCGTACCGTTCCGGCCACTCCGGAACACGTTTCGGTCGATCGATTTCGCAGTGGATACGCAGGCGGTCGGAACGGCGGAGCGCAGGAGAAGCCGGAAAAGCGCGCGTAGAGGGTAGCGCGCGGACGAGTTTGGGGCGCCACGGAGTGGGCGGGACGAAGGAAGGGGGGCGAGCTGGCGAAGGGGGCGAGCATACAGGTCGGAAAGGAAAAAAAGGAACGCTGCCGCGGAAACGAGATCGCGAAATAAAAGGGTTGCTAGAGCCGAGTGCGGAATAGAACGGGAGAGAGAGAAAGGGTGAGAGACAGAGAGAGAGAGAGAGAGAGAGAGAGAGAGAGAGAGAGAGAGAGAGAGAGAGAGAGAGAGAGAGAGAGAGAGAGAGAGAGAGAGAGAGAGAGAGAGAGAGAGAGAGAGAGAGAGAGAGAGAGAGGGAGAAGGGGGGAGGGATGAAGAGGGACTGCGAGAGGCGGGGAAGAGCGGGAGGAGAAGAGCGAGAAAGAGGAAGGAAGAAAAAGGGACGACGGAGACCGGAAGTGCGAGAGACAGAGAGGAGACGCGGGAGACCACGTTCAACTACCCACCTACGGGGTGAAGGACGGCTCGTTTGCTCCGGCCTCTTCCACCCCCGTGAGCCAACTACCCCCGCCGCCAACCGCCTCTCTTTTTCCAGCGTTTCTCCCGCCGCTGCCTCTTTGCCTCTCACCGTGTCTCCCGTAGCTTTCGTCTCCCTCGTTCCTACATTTGAAAGCCACCCTCTTCCCCTCTGTTTCTCTCACACCGTGTGTTTCTTTCTCTCTCTCCGCAGGGGAAAACAAATTCACCGTGGTAGGTGGGCGAGCGCTCCCTTCTTTTCCTCCCCGTCGCGTCCGCCTACCCCGTCCTCCCGTGGCAGTCGTCCTCGCTTTGAATGTAACTAATTAGTAACTACGTTCAGCGTGACGTAATAAGCAGACGGCTTCTGCCGGCGAGCTCGCCGCGGCGTGCGGTGCGCTCGTTATCGTTTTATTTCGAACTTTTCATCCCCCCCTTCCCTCTGGCTCCCATCGTTCGCCTGTAGCCTCCCGTTCGCCATCGTTCGTGCCGACGACGATGACGACGACGACGACGACGGCGACGACGGCGACGACAACGACGACGACAACGACGACGACGACGACGACGACGACGACGACGACGACGACGTCGACAACTGCATCCCGTGCTTCTTTCGCTCTTACCGTGCTTGCCTGCTCTCGCCTCCTTCTCCCTCCACCCTTCGCTTTCTACCAACCCCGCTTTTTTTCAACGCCCTCACCGGGGGCTGAAAAGAATTCGATGCTACCCGTTCTTAGACGAGACCGCAACAGTCGCGCAAAACCATATCTCGGTGTGTGCGCGCGGGTTTTTTTCCAGGCGCATTCTCGGATTCCGCGGACGAGAATAAGACAAAAGAAAGAAGAAATTGCTAAGTTCGAAAACAATTGCGCGAGAACAAATCCCTGCGCCGAATGTATACCGTACGTGTACCGTGAGTGCCCATGGGATCTGCCTGAAAGATAAATAGTAAAACGTAATATAATTCGACGGTTGCAAAAGTCCGTGCGAAGAGAATTTCTATTTGCCATCTCATAATTCTATCGTCAGTACGCAGTTCTTTGTCGATTCACGCCATTCCACGCTGCTTAACCTCTCGCAATTCGGGAAACAATAATCTCGCGTATTACGTTGGACACAAAATGACAATGCGGATCTACCGAAAATAACAGTCCGCCGCAGGGTCAAGCGGCAGAGGGAGAGGGAGGGGGGGTGGGAGATCAGCTCGGGTGTCTACTGTTCACAAAACGAGCTCGCGACGCGCGGGAAATCGTCGCGACTCGACGCACACGGTCGCTCCGAGCGGCTTCAATTTTCGCGAATCCAGAAGTTCGCTCGCGAAACTCCTGGAGTCAGGGCGAGCCCGGTCGTCGCGCGGCACGAATATGTAACTTCGGCCGCGATTAAAACTGCGCGAGAGCTGCGCTGCTGCGGCGCGAATATCTCCCGTGATAGACGGTACGAGCGGGAGTTTCGCAAATACGGGTTGTTCCGGCCGATCGGCCGTGCCGCCGGGAATACAGCGTCATGAAGAGACGATAATTAATTGCGTACTCGCGCTATCGATTATTTATATCGCGCCAAGTATAACGTGGAACGAATACACGGGGCACGCGGTTCAAATGCGCGACTGCGTAATCCCTCCTCTTCCCGAATAGGCTCGTGTCCCTGTTTTTTCGTTGAAGATCACGCCGAGAGACGCGTGACACCTCACTCGCATCGTCGTCATAATGTCTCCACTTTATGTCCGTGAAATTTTAATATGCGCATTTTACAAATCGCCAGCTCTCGCACCGAGAAGTGCAATTTTTCTAGTTTCGAATTGGCGACGCTATCTCTCGCCGAGAGACGACGTCATCTGCAAATCGTAAATACACTCACCTTACATAATCCCCGCGGCGCGTTCGAT